TAGAGCTACTGAGGCCTCATGTCACTCAGCGAGAACTGTCTACATGTGTCACATGATTCCTTAGGAGCGTATAAAGGGCACTTTCAGAAGCCACATTAGCATTTCACTCGTGATGAGTCGTATATTGACCAAGGCCTGTAGGTAGTAAAGAGAATTCGCTAATGGACGACAGTGATACCCACCGGGCACGCGCGTCTTCCGTGTATTGATGGGCTCTTTTGTTCGAGGGATGTGGATTAAAAGTCCATTTATATGACTCATCGCACTTAGGAAATGGATGTGTAGCTTCACACCCCATCCCCCAACACACACACAAAGTGGTAAGTTGCCGTAACGTCTGCCTTACCCAGAAACCCTCCTGGCGGCCCAACCTCACTGGGAAGAAGAGACGCTGACTGTAGGAATATGAAGCTTCTAGCACTAATTGATGGGACCACCTTCCCTCTCTCATTTGGGGCTTGTGACACTGGGGAGGGATTGGCTCTCAGGCCAAAGCACCGTGTCCTTTGCTGCCCCGAGTGACGGGAGAGAAAAGGACATCCATCCACGGGCCCCACGCCACTCAAGTCCTCCTGGGAGAGATCCGCGTTACCTGTTAGGGACTGGTCTGTAAGAAGATGGAGACTATGAACACCTACCTGGGATCATTTAGGGGCTCTGATAGAGGGCTTTCTCTGTTGGACCGTGGGGGAAGCCGTAGCAGAAAGCAGGCCAGGGTTCGAGCCCAGCAGAAAGGGGGACAGATCAATTCCGCTGGAAAATAAGTTCATAAACGCCACCCTGTGTAAAAGGGAGTTAGTGACAGCTGGTCAGGGGCCAGCAGGCTGGCTGTGGGGACCAGATTCCGCTAAGGCTGAACTGGCCTCAGGGCAGAATCGGTGGAGCGTTCTGAAGCAGGAGTTCGCTGTGGTTCAGGCCCAGAGAGGCCCTTCTTGGTCGAAGACAGCGGCTTATGTTAGTGACGGACTCAGAGCCCAAACCCAGAGGCAGCACTACGTCCGGGTGCCTCTCTGGAGCCAGGCTCTCCGACGCCATCGCATACTAGGGGACAGGATG